TTTTTTTAAAGGACACTGTTCAAGATGATGGGAGAAAAAGAAGTTTGCAAAGAAGTTTACATCAGATTTAATTATTATTCCTTAGGGAAAGGTTGTGACCTCACATTTGAAAATGTTAAAGATACTTAAAGAGTAGCTTAGTGGTTCTGTTGTAGAGATAAAAACTATGCAGTTACAGAGCAAATGAAAAACCAATCAACTTCATGCAGATTTCCCATGACAGCATCTCACAAATAATCAAAAATAAGCTGCATCTCAAACAGCATATTTAGAAATGAAAATAATATATTTTAACTCTGAAATCTAAATTATTTACAAAGTCATTATAAATAATTTAAATAAAACAGTTTCATGTTAATATGAAAGTTTCATATTATAAAACTTCATAATATGCAAGTGGGGCTTAATATATTTTGCCTCATAGGTAATATGCTCCTAACTAAACTGCAATTTACATTTTAGAAGCAGGGATGAGCATTTTATCAACATCTGTAAAAATTAATTAGATGTTTGAATTATTAATTAGACATAAACATATGTTAATAATTAATTAGATATGTGTTTCATTGTCACACTAAATGTTCATGTATTTATTGGGAAGAAAATGTATTTTGGATCTTAGGCAAATAAGAGAGCCTTATGTTTAGGATTGCTTTATGTTGGTGCATATTCTGTGTCATCTAAGATTATAAGGTCTCTGGGGGCAGAGATAATTGTATATTCTATAAGTTGTATATCCAGTGACAAGCATAGTACTCTGAATATAAGAAGTCAGTAAATGTTGATTCTTAGGAACTTTGCCTTTAAAAAGGGTCGTAGTCAGTTTTGTACTGCTATAACAGAATACCACAGACTAGGCAATTTGTAATGTACAGAATTTTATTGGCTCACAGTTCTGGAGGCTGGGAAGTCCAAGATCAAGGAACCAGAATCTGGTGAGGACCTTCTTGCTGTGTCATCCATGGCAGAGGGCAAAGAGAGAGAGTAGAAGGCTGACTCACTTTTATATAACAAACCCATTCCCAAGATAATGAACCCACTCCTACAATAATGGCATTAATATATCCATGAGGGCCTAGCCCTCATAGCTTAATCACCTTTCATTGGCCTTCACTTCCCAACACTCTTGCATTGGGGTTTAAGTTTCTGATACATGCTTTTTAGGGGATACGTTCAAACCATAGCAATGACCTAACTCAAGTGTTACTTCTTTTCTGAAGACTTTCCTGATGTCTTCTTCCTCTTTTGCAGGAATTGACCACTTCCCTTGCTATTGCTACAGCATGCTAACCCTGTCCTGGACTTACTAATAGACCTGCTTGTGCTTGTCTACTGCACTGCAAAATCCTGAGGACAGGATCTGCAATTGATTTGTCTTAGATCTTTAGAGCCTTGAGGAGTACTTGATTCATAGCTACCATAAATGTTTATTGGAATCAATGAGTTTGAATCACTACAGTATATAGAGTATCTCATTGTCTTAGTTCTTGCTCAAAAACTAGGTAGATTTAGGTAAATTCTTTAAAAATATCTTTGCTATCTAAACTCTCATCATTTGCCCTTTGAATCTCCAGGAGCCAAGTCATTTGGATTTCACAAATTTCTTCACCATTAGAACTTTAGGAACTGAATATAGGAGTATTTTATAAAACATGTTAAAACACAGGCCCCATTTTATGCATGGCCAAGATGGTTTCTAGGGCCCTTGCAATTCATTTGAGTGGAAGTAGTTGTCTATATTGCTTACCTCCATGGAGACTGCACACTGCTCTGGCCTGGTAACTCCTTTAATCATCTTTATTTTCTGGTTGGCACTGTCCTGTCTTTTCTGCCTTTGGTCATAGTTACCAGATGTGGTAGTTGAAGGGAAGGGACTGCTGTTGTCACTAGAGTGCCAAACTGTGGTGGGATATTAGTTAGGATTGCATAAAACTAGTAAAAAACAGAAAACTCTGGTTTATGATCTTCTGCTAACAGGATTTTTTAAAAATAAAAACATAAATATAATATGGCTTATTCCTCCAAAATTCAGGCAGTACTTGCGTAAAGTTAACACTTTCCATATGTAAAAGACTGGAGTGGTTTTATTTCTGAGTATGATATTGTATCCAGTTGCAATATACAGCTAAGCTATTGTTTTGACTTTGAACCATTGAATTGAAATGACATTTTTATTCTAGAAGAAGACATGTTAAGCAACGGAGTGACTACTCTGTGCCATCCACGGGGCTAAATGCTGCCATATGCATTGCTCCATCAAATTCTTACAACAACCATATTTGCCGTAGTTTCTTTTTTTTGTATTAGCATTTTATTTTGAGATAGTTGTAGATTCATGTTGTGATCCCATGCACCCCTCACCCACTTTCTTCCCATGGTAGCATCTTGCATAATTATAATAGAGTATTGCAAATAGGAATTGTCATTGGTACAGTCCTTTGATCTTACTCAGTTTCACATTTTATCTGCACTCTTTTGTGTGTTCCTCCATGTGTTTGTGTATTTAGTGCTATATAATTTGTTTTGTTTTGAGATGAAGTTTTGCTATCGTCCAGGCTGGAGTGCAATGGTGCAACCTCCGCCTCCTGGATTCAAGTGATTCTCCTGTCTCAGCCTCCCCAGTAGCTGGGATTATAGACGCTTGCCACCACACTGGGCTGATTTTTCTATTTTTAGTAGCGACAGGGTTTCATCATGTTAGACAGGATGGTATTGATCTCCTGACCTTGTGATCTGCCCTCTTTGGCCTTCCAAAGTGCTGGGATTATAGGTGTGAGCCACTGCGCCCAACCTTTTTATTTTGAGAAGGAATTTTGCTCTGTTGCCCAGGTTGGAGTGCAATGGCATGATCTCGGCTCACTCCAGCCTCTGCCTCCCGGGTTCAAGTGATTCTCCTGCCTCAGCCTCCTGAGTAACGAGGATTACAGGCTCTCACCACTGCACTAGGCTCATTTTTGTATTTTTAGTGGAGACGTGGTTTCACCATGTTGGCCAGGCTGGTCTCGAACTCCTGACCTCAAGTGATCCGGCTGCCTCAGTCTCCCAAAGTTTTGGAATTATAGGCGTGAGCCACTGCACCTGGCCATGCTATGCAGCCGCACCTGGCCATGCTATGCAACCACACCTGTAGGTTGCCGTTTCTTTTTAAACACATGAGGGAAACAGGCTCAGATAAGTTATGTGAAATGCTCTAAGTGTAAACTTTGGGTTTGAATCTAGCTCTGTTTGATCTACACTTTTGCCTTTTCAGTAAGGATATGACTAATAATAGTAATAATAATGACAATGGCTGTCACTTACTGAGTTTCATATGAAACATATTGAGTACTTTTTATGTGACAGGGACTGTTTTAAGATATTGAGTCATTTAATCCTGACAACTTTTAGCATGTAAATTATATCACTGTTGAATTAGTCTCCTTAATTAAACTGTAAGTCACGTTACCAAGGAATGGGTAACTATGTTTACACCTCCCCAAGTCAATAATAAAATAATGAAATTCCACCCTCTTTTTACATATATTTCACATTTTGACTTTCAACTTTAACCACTGATCTTGACCATTGTTGATTAATTTCGTATATATATAATGAGACCTATATTATTATAGATTTAGTTAGGTTCAGATACCTTACATAATTTTACTAAATTGAAAATAAGAGCTGGTGTAGGCAGAATGCCAGATTTTTAAGGGAATAGATGTAAAACATCAAGAATACTTCAGAATGTAATTGAGAGAAGTTTTTTGTTGGAGTGTTTTAGCTTTTTTTTTTCCTTTTCTTTTTTTTTTTTTTTGCCAAATAAGGCTCCAAAAATGTTTGAATTTAACGAGATCTCCCAAGTTACATCTCTTGACTTTCAATGTGGTATCTAATGTCTTCGGTTGTGAGTTATCACTGATTAGCAGAATATTAACATGGTTCAAGAAGATAACATATATACTAATCACCAGCCCATAATTTACTATTCTTTGCTAGTAAAATCTCTTGTTAAGCTGTCCCTGTGATGAACAGCAGCACTTATTCAGACCAAAAATAACAACAGTCCCATGTGTTGTAGGTCCCAGGAGGTCTTGGTGTTTTTGTAGACAGCAGACAAGAAATAAAAGGAATTTTGTCCTTTTTACCTCATGTAATCCCACTGGAAAATGAAACATGTGCTATGAGTTGATACTGACTCCTGCCAGGTCACCTCCCTAAAGAGTCTTGGGCAGGCACTGTTGCAACATTTCTTGGACAGGAGTGTGACGGGCTGTGATGGAGATGGATGGTTTATGTAGCATGCTACCGTGGAACACTGCACTACTGTCTGTCCCTAGGAAGTGTCTAGTGAGGACGCCACGAGTAACCCGCATCTGTTACTTTAATGCTTTCAGAGGGTATTACATAAACTTTACACCCCCCAATTTTAAACTAAATTCTACGTAGCATTTTTTAAAAAAATAGCTGACTATAGTAATGCAGAACCATGTGTGATTTATTTTCCCATACTTTGTAGAACTTTCTTTTGGATGTTAGATAATGCAAGTATTTTTGAAACTATATGTTCTTACGAACTATTTGGACACTACAAAACCCTTTTAATGGGCTACCCTATCAATTTTCTGCTCTTCTAAGGAAATTTTTCCTATTCATGACTCATTTCACTCTTTGGCTCATACTGAGGGAAATGTAATAACGATTAAGGAAAGGAATGTATGCGTTTTCTTCTTTTTTCTGAAAACCTGTACACATTTCTGTCTCGGGTTATGTAAACTTGGATGGCTGTAGAATGTTGACAAGTGTGAGAGGTAAAAATGAGTCTGTTAATACATACCACTGCATTGGAATTTAAAAGCCAGAAAATTTCCCTTTGGTTCTTTACCGAAGTGTTTAGCTTGATGGCCCAGAGTACAAATCCAGTAAAATCGGCATGTTCCAGCTGTCATTTACACACACCTTAGGCGAAATTAATGAGATCACTCTAAGATTACGCTTTGTGTTTTATTTTCATTTTATAGGTCTCTATGAGCTGTTGGCTGCTCTGCCAGCCCAGCTGCAGCCACATGTGGATAGCCAGGAAGACCTGACCTTCCTCTGGGATATGTTTGGTGAAAAAAGCCTGCATTCATTGGTAAAGGTAAACCATGCTGATGTCAGATCCTCTTTGCAAAAAGCATATGGAAAAATATTTGGGGCACCATCAAGTAAACCAGAGATCAAATTGTTGCTCTCTGAAAACAAAACAGCCTTGTTCCATTCACTGACAGGCGTGGAAGTTGTTAAAGATTCTACCAAAAATACATAGATGATTTCACTTAATGGTGGTGAGTTGGCTCTGTATACTAATGTAGCAACCATGTGGTCACCCCCTTGTTTAGAGAAAGAATATGAAATAGTAGCAGGAAGGTTTAGACTCTTTTACAGTCAACATTCATGAGCTGGAATTTAACTTAAATAAATGTTCACAGCAAAAATTAGAAGGAATCTATTTTCTGAGGTCAAGGATGGCAGCAGTTCAGTAGCCACATTAATTTAAAATAATTTCCTTTAACAAAGTCAACTGAAATTCTAGTAAGCTGTTTCTTTTATTGGCAGAACTCCATTGAAGTGGTATTTTGTATATAAATACACTGAAGCTGAATGCGAATAAAAACAGTTTTTGGAGACAGTTTCAGTAAAGCATCATGCCATGAAAATGATCAGCCAGCAGAAATCAGGTCTGGCCATACAGCAACATTGGGAGTGATCAGAACTCTTAAAATAGTAAAATGAGAACAAGAAGCTTACTGGAAAATATGCCACTTGTGCTTCTGGAAATATGAATTGCGTTTTCTCTCATCTAACTCAAGCTGAAAGAAATTTAGAGTCTTTCTGGAGTTTGTAAGGAGGTAGAAACCAGTGCCTCAATGATAATTGGACCTATATTTAATTCAGCTAAATTTCTTATGGTTCCATCTCATGATAAGAGTTTTTTAATTGATATAGAGTATTTGAAAATGAGCAACTTCTGAGTTGCAGTTGCTTTACAGAACAGAATTCCTATATTTTTTTTCTTGTCAAATTTGCTGAAATTTGTGTACTTCCAGGAGTGACAATTCTTACAAAGTGGAAGTGTGATATGTGGCATTTCCCTAGCAATACCCTTAAAGATTACATTTATTTGTTAATTTCTTTCTTTTTCATAACAATGTAATTTCCAAGGCATCCTTATGCTCCAAATAATAGTTGCCCTCTGGGAGTTTATTAGGCATGGTCTTCGAATTATAACTGATGAAGTTTATGACTTGGTAATACAATCATAAAAAATTTTTATGCTGAATGTATAGAAGTTGGATAGCTATGGGTTTATTTAGATGGAGTTGACCTCTTGGTAGAAGGAATAAAATATATTTGCAGTGGCATCATTAAATCAGCAAGCCTCCAAGCAATGGATGTGTATTCGTTTGTATGTATTTACAACATAGCTACTCTCGCAGTTTCCTTACCTATAAATGAAAGTTATAACATTTGTTTATAAGGTTGTTTGCGAGTTTCAAATAAAATAGTGAAGATCTAAGTTTTTTGATACTTATATAATGTGGTTAGGCAAATTTGAGTAGACATTATTAAGTGTTAAGGAAAAAGATCATTATCGTAGCATGCTAAGGACCAAAAAAGAATGCAGAGATGGTTGTTATTTCTATTAAAAGAATGAAACTAATGCATAAAACAAATTCTTAGTTACACTGGCTTGAGTTTAAGGGGAGGCTGTTTTTCAAAGTCTATGTCAATACTAAGTAGTTGGAAAGCATACCGGAGGGTACTGATATCTGATTTCGTAAAAACGGTGGAGCAAATAAACTCATTGCTAGTATTTAGATAGCACGATAACACATATACTATTCCAAATGTTTTCCAGTAATTGCTGTAAAATTTATTTTCAAAATTAGTTTTGTTACATATCTCTAGTTTATTCTCAGTATCTTAGTAGTTCCTTCCACCCCCTACTTTTATCAGACACAGACCTCAAGTGTGTCCTTTGACCCATTCTATTAGTTTTCAAGTATGTAAAGTCTACAATACCTTCAAGAGGCAGGCTCCTGGGACTGGAGCTTTAAACAGCTGTAACAAACCACTTCGCTGTATTTCAAGCACGTCTGTTTAATCTTGAAGGATAGGAGCCTTCAGCCTTTGTACGTAAATCTTGGTAGAACTGAAGGAATTTGTTTGAAAAGATTTGTGGTAGAGTGAATCAAAATTGCTTTGGTGTTACGCTCTTCTGCCTGCAGTCGAAGCTGTTAGGGTGTGATTTAGAATTGGGTGAACATAAAACTTGATTTTATTCTAGCACAGAATTTTCATAGTTGTTATGTTTTGTTTGTGTGTGTGTGTTTTTTAAATTGGCTGGGTGCAATGGTTCACACCTGTAATCCCAGGCCAGGAGTTCAAGAACAGCCTGGGCAGCATGGCAAGACCCTCTCTCTCCAAAAAAAAAAAAAAAAAAATTAAAAATTAGCCATGCATAGTGGTGCATGCCTGTGGTCCTAGCTACCCAAGAGGCTGATGTCGGAGGATCTCATGAGCTTGGGAGGTGAAGGCTGCAATAAGCTGTCATCACACTACTGTGCTCCAGTCTAGATGACAGAGATTCCGTCTCTTAAAAAAAGAAAGGTTGGGCGCGGGTTGTAAATCACAACACAATTTTAAATATATAGACCTCTTTGGACTAGGGAAAATATACTTACAAAGAGGATGTTTGGGTAATACAGTCTCTGTGACAGGTTCTGCCACCTTGGGGTATTGGGCTACACTGTAGGTATATGTAGGCTATGAGCTTATCACTAAAAAGGAAATACAGTGATCCTATAGGGTGTTACCTGAGGATACTTTTTAAAAGAAAAAGTCCTAAATAGAAAAGTTGAAAAATGACATAAACAGCGAGCATGAGACTTTAGAAGTATCAGAGGGAAGATGATACTGAAAGAATACCTGGAAAGTCTCGTATTGATATTGTTTGGCTGTGTCCCCACCCAAATCTCATCTTGAATTGTAGCTCCCATAATTCCCACATGTTGTGGGAGCAACCTGTGGGAGATAATTAAATCGTGAGAGTGGTTTCCCACATACTGTTCTCATGGTAGTGAACAAGTCTCATGAGATCTGATGGTTTTATAAGGGGAAACTCCTTTTGCTTGGATCTTATTCTCTCTTGCCTGCCATGATGTAAGATGTGCCTTTTCTTTCTGCCATGATTGTGAGGCCTCCCCGGCCACTTGGAACTGTGAGTCCATTAAACCTCTTTTTCTTTATAAATTACCCAGTCTCAGGTATGTCTTTATCAGCAGTGTGAAAACTGACTAATACACACACGTCTGTGGGATAGAAATACATTGTTTATGAGGGGTGGTAATACAAGGATATCAGAAATCACATGACCCAGAGAATGAGATAGACCTTCAGCAAGGGTAGAGCTGCATCCTAGACCCATCTCTTGCAAATATACAGGACCATATATATTGTATCCCAACCTCATGTCTAGATTTAGTTTCTTTTTTTTTTTTTTTTTGAGATGGAGTTTCGCTCTTGTTACCCCGGCTGGAGTGCAATGGTGTGATCTTGGCTCACTGCAACCTCTGCCTCCTGGGTTCAAGCAATTCTCCTCCTCAGCCTCCTGAGTAGCTGGGATTACAGGCGTGAACCACCATGCCCAGCCAATTTTTGTATTTTTAGTAGAGATGGGGTATCACCATGTTGACCAGGATGGTCTCGAGCTCTTGACCTTGTGATCCACCCGCTTCGGCCTCCCGAAGTGCTGGGATTACAGGTGTGAGCCACCGCACCCGGCCTAGATTTAGTTTCTGCTCTTGTGGTTTTTTTTCCTATTGAGAACTCTTTACTTATTTTACATTTTATTTTTAAAAATTATGTTTCTGTGTGTTTTCATGATCTCATTTAAGTTCATTTCAGAACAAGATATGGCATACAAATTTGCTTAAATACTATACTTCTTTTCTTTTTCTTTCTTTTTTTAAAAAATTTTTGAGACAGGGTGCAATCTTGGCTAACTGCAACCTCGGCCTCCTAGGTTCAAGTGATTCTCATGCCTCAGCCTCCTGAGTATCTGGGACTGCAAACACCTGCCACCAGGCCTGGCCAAGTTTTATATTTTTCATAGAGACAGGGTTTTGCCATGTTGGCCAGGCTGATCTCAAACTCCTGACTGCTTTGACCTCTCAAAATACTGAGGCTACAGATGTGAGCCACTGTGCCCAGCCTCTGTTTCTTTTAAATAAGGCTATAGTTCTGTTTCCTCCAGAAATCTTTGTTTTTAACCCACAACTGTGTTAGATTTCTAGGATAAGAATATGGAATTGTTAGTAACTTTTAAATTGTTGTGTTATGTTTTCCCCTACCCTTAAAAATAATTGTGTGTATATTTGGGAACAGGAGGAAAAAACATAGCCATCTGAATTTTATTCTTTTGGTATTTTGAAGTATTTCAGCAAACCCAAATTGATATTTTCCAGATAATTTTCCTCATATGATTGAATTATTGTGAGAGTTTCTGTGATTTCAGCCTTATAATGATAAATACTCAGACTTTATAACATCTGGTGACATCGTTTTAACTTTGCATATTTTTTAATTTTGAGGGTTACATAGTAGGTACACATTTTTATGGAGTATATGTATTTTGATACAAGCATACAATGTATAATAATCACATCAGGGTAAATGGGGCATCCATAACCTCAAGCATCTATTTAACTTTGAGTTTTGATGGACTGATTGATACTATTTGTTGAGTATGTACTCGTGCCAGTTGCTATATGGACCACTAGGGCTAAGACGTCCAACCTGGCGGGCACAATCCCTTGCCTGTGGGGCCTCTAGTCTCCCAGAGAGTTTATAAATAAAGGGATGGATGATTACAATATTCTAAGATAGGTCTCATTTGGAACTTTTTAGGAGAGACACGAGGTGCCTCACTCAACACTGGCCTCAGAGGGAAGTTTATGGAGGATTTGGTATCTTGAGCTAGAACCTGCATATGGAATAGGAGTTGCTCAGGTTAGGCCAGGTGAGGTGCCTCATGCTTGTAATCCCAGCACTTTGAGAGGCCGAGGCAGGTGGATCACTTGAGGTCAGCAGTTTGAG